AACTGAAACCGTATTTACAAGATGACAATGTCTGATTCATAAAAGTCTATCTGTAAATGTATAATTGCTGAAGATCCCTCCATTAAAAAGAACTGAAACCGTAGTTACAAGATGACAATGTCTGATTCATGAAAGGTTCCCGGAATACCTTTATCTTTTCAATAATGCTGAAAGATGCTGTTGGTTTTCTAGGATTAATTTGGACCTAATAGTGTTTATTTCTGATAATATCTATATGTTTTCCTATAGAAGACAGGCACAAGTCAATTTTATAGAGTTTTGAAACTTACAATCATTGATTTATAATTGATACAAGATCAGCCACAGCTTTTTATAGTACTGTCGTGAATCGGATATTGCCATATTTGCATGGAGGGTCACTTAAACTTAATTCTGAGATTCAAAAATGTATTAACAGTATTTTAACAATTGATATACCTTGATTCTATCTTTTTTCTTGTTGCTAATGGTAAGATTGAACTGATTCCCAGAATTCTCTATAAAAATACAAATCCTGTATAATCTAATTTTTCTAAACGATGTAATATTCATTTATTTATTAAAAAGCAAAAAAAATATATTTGTGAAATAATAATTATTTGGTTACAAAAAGTATTACATTGCTACCAAGCATCAATATATGTAAAAAATTACTCAATCAAAATAATCAAATTTAATATTTTTTTATTTATTAAATATACTTATATCTATTTATGTCATTTTAATTGGGTATTGTTAAGTGCTAAAAGTAACTCTATTGCACTATACAACGGGAAATATTAGGTGTGATAAATTTTCTCAAAATTAAATAAAAAACACTTTTAAATTATTACATAATTACATAAATAACCTGTTACATAATTACATAAATAACCTGTTACATAATTACATAAATAACCTGTTACATAATTACATAAATAACCTGTTACATAACTACCTAACTGCCTGTTATACTCAGTTTACCTAGACAGAATATTGTGTTGCTTAAATGATGAGATTCAATGGAACATTTAAATCGTTTCTTCAGGTGTAACGGATCTTTAAAATGTTGATCAGGTATTTCAAATCTAGGGAAATCAAGTTTTCAGATATTGATTACGTAGTTTTTGAATTTGGTTTTTACAATTAGATTAGCCATATTCCGGCTTGCACTGAAATATTTAATTTTTTAAAGGGAGTGTTCGCGAAAAATGAAAGGGGGGTATAGGCTTAATGCGATAAAAAAGCGCTTTTGATCGCTACTAATCTTACTTCTGTCTGTTGCGTCTATAAGGAGAAAATGGATAAAGACCATACCGAATAACATGGCGTCCATGCAAATTGAGAAAATTGCAACATACGACTTAGATTGTAAAAAAATCAATTTAATTTCAAACAAATCCTTCAGATATTACAACCTATAGTCATCGATTATCTTTTGCCACATTTATATATAGTTGATTTTTCATAATATGTTTTAATTGTTATGATCTGAGAGTTACTTATAAAAACATGTATTCCTGTTTCGAGGATTTTTGGTAATGAAGACGACATTTTAATATTTTCCAGAAATGCTCGAAAACAAGTGGAAAGCTAAATATTATTTTAAAAAACAAAATCAAAACTAGTATGAAACATCAAATATATACAAATTTGGCGAAAGATAATCGATGACTTTAGGTTGTAATATCTGAATGATTTGTTTGATATTAATTTTGATTTTTTTACGGTCTAAGTCGTATGTTCCAGCTTTCTCAATTTGTATGGGCGCTACGCTCTTCGGTATGAGACATCTTTATCAGTTTTCTCCTTATAGACGCAACAGATAGAAGTAAGATTAGTAGCGATCAAAAGCGATTTTTTATCGCATTAAGCCTATTCCCCCTTTTATTTTTCGCGAACACTCCCTTTAAATATGCAATAAAAAATAGCCCTTCATTTTTAAATATTCTTGAGTTATGGATTAAAACTTTCCACTTAAAAATATTTCGAAATCTGTTGAAAAATAGATTTGAATAAAAAAAAACATTTAAACAGTGAATTCAGAAATTTCTAATAAAGGCTGTATGTTCTAAATATACTAATAATAATTTCTAAGGTTTGGTCTTAGATACATGTGATGATGTAAATAGCCCAATTATTGAAAAAATTAGACCACTAATTTAAATGATGTGACCGTGTGGTAGTTACGGAGGTAATACAAAAAATTAGAAACAAAAATTCTGAAAAATGTTAAATATATCTTTTTTTCTGTTAAATGTGACAGATATTTTAATATTAATTTTAAAAATATGCCTCAAACTAACTCAACTATTAGGACATAACAATTTGATGTGGAATTACCTTCAGCCCACATCCTCCTCTCCCCCCCCCAAAAAAAAAACTTTTTTTTAAATCGAATTAGGGTTAAATTAAAAATAAACCTTGAGCGAGTAGGAAATAAATCCTCGTAGAACTGTAATTGGAGTCCTTGTATAATTTCATTCACCTTTATGATAACAAATTTAATTTCAAATTGCATGTTCAATTAGTTATATTATTTTTATTATTATCATTATTATTATTCAAATATTGATTTTGATTAAAACAAAAATATCAGTGTCCAAATTTTAATGAATTTGAGCCGCGTCTCAAATCCGCAAAACACGTTTCATTTGAGCGCCGGCTTAAATCTTAAAACATTGGATTCAATTTTAATAAATGGAACCAAGCATTCTGAAATTTAAGTCCGTGGCTCAACTTTTTAAAATTCGGCCTCTGAGCATTTTAATTAGGGTGCAAAAACACATTTATCATTTATGTTTGTAAGCTCTCACACAAAAATCTATGACAATTTTGCTAATAAATTCCAAAAAAATATGGCTAAAAAAGGCTTCTTGGGCTTCAAATAAAAGTCAACCTAGTCCTAAAATATCAAATAATGAATCAATTAGTATTTTTTCCCGATATAAAATGTTTGAAGGCGGTTTATATCCAGAACTTTATCGCTTAATTACTTTTTTAATTTTATCGCTTAATTACTTTTATTACTTTTTTTATTTGTAAATTGTAAAATTATTAATCTATTTAGGGCTTGGGCTGAATATCCCCTTGAGGTACTTAATTTAAGATTAGCACTCATAGCGGCACAATTTATGCAAAATTTAATTTTATGCAGGGAGTCATAATAAGCATACGGAGTTAAAGGGATTGTTTACTGGGAGTCATAATAACCATATGGAGTTAAAGGGATTGTTTACTGGGAGTCATAATAACCATAGGAGTTAAATGGATTGTTTACTGGGAGTCATAATAAGCATAGGAGTTAAATGGATTGTTTACTGGGAGTCATAATAAGCATAGGAGTTAAATGGATTGTTTACTGGGAGTCATAATAAGCATAGGAGTTAAATGGATTGTTTACTGGGAGTCATAATAAGCATAGGAGTTAAATGGATTGTTTACTGGGAGTCATAATAAGCATAGGAGTTAAATGGATTGTTTACTGGGAGTCATAATAAGCATAGGAGTTAAATGGATTGTTTACTGGGAGTCATAATAAGCATAGGAGTTAAATGGATTGTTTACTGGGAGTCATAATAAGCATAGGAGTTAAATGGATTGTTTACTGGGAGTCATAATAAGCATAGGAGTTAAATGGATTGTTTACTGGGAGTCATAATAAGCATAGGAGTTAAATGGATTGTTTACTGGGAGTCATAATAAGCATAGGAGTTAAATGGATTGTTTACTGGGAGTCATAATAAGCATAGGAGTTAAATGGATTGTTTACTGGGAGTCATAATAAGCATAGGAGTTAAATGGATTGTTTACTGGGAGTCATAATAAGCATAGGAGTTAAATGGATTGTTTACTGGGAGTCATAATAAGCATAGGAGTTAAATGGATTGTTTACTGGGAGTCATAATAAGCATAGGAGTTAAATGGATTGTTTACTGGGAGTCATAATAACCATATGGAGTTAAAGGGATTGTTTACTGGAAGTCATAGTAACCATATGGAGTTAAAGGGATTGTTTTCGAAAAATAAAGGGGTTAAATATTGACGTCGAATTGAATTCGATATCGATCGCTACCAATTTTACTTCTATTAGGAGAAAATGGTTTAAAATGACTGCCAAAAGAGTAGGAGTTAGGAGTAGGACGCATACAAATTCAAGGAGTTAGGAGTAGGACGCATACAAATTCAAAGAGTTGCATTAGTTTACTTAGACCGTAACTAATTCAATTAAATTTAAAACTGATTTAATCAAAGATATTACAAGCTACGATTGTCGAATTAGTTCGATGCGTTTTTATAAATCTAGTTATCATTTCATGATATTTATTTTTACTTTGTTTTTTTTTCATTAATATCTTGCTTCAAACTTGTTTTAATGGCTGGCCCTGGATTTTCAAACACTCCTGGAAAATAACAAAATGTCGTCTTTATTATCAAAAATCCTCGAAATTTCAGGAATGAATATTTCCGAAAGTAAAACTTGATTATATATAATAAAAAACGTCATGAACATCAACTTTATACAATTGCATCGAATTGTAAAATGGTAAAAGTTCAGAAGGAAATATCAAAACGCTTAAAGATCAAATACCTTGTGTTTCGAGCTCTTTAAATCGTTGTTCAGACAAATCATTTTTTTAGGATTTCGCTTTATATCCTTCATAAGATGTTGTTATGAATTAAATTTGTGAAAGTTTTTTTTAATTGTTTTTTTTTCATAATACACCGAGAAAAATTTTAATTTTCTCAATTTTCTGCAATTTTGTTATAATATTTTTGTAAATGATTAAATCTTTGTATATAAATATTTTTTTTTCAAACTTTCCTTAAAGAGGTGAATCATCGTTACTATATCTGAAGTTAACATCCTGCAACCATAATATGAAAATTAACCTTTAAAGGGACTGTAAACGTTATTTCATCTGACCCATCTTTTATAGAGTGTCATGTCTTATCCACAATGGTTCCCTTTAAACCTTATTATTTGCCTTGCTAAAATTTAATTATGCTTGACTTTGAAAAAGTATGGTGGACCTTGTGTTAACAAGAACCATGAAGTGTTAGTTTATATTTCTAGCTCTGTTGTCAAAAACAAAGCAGAATTGAACATTCGTATTTTATATCTTTAATATCGAATTGCACAAGTTTTGCGAAAAAAAATGCAAATTTTTTGCAAACAACCTGTCAAAGGAAATTTGCACATTTTTAGTTTTTCTTGATTAAAAATTTGGTTATTTAAAATTTTGCAAATATTTTTGCATATTTGAAATGGCATGGTCAAGGGCTTTTCAAAAATTTATGATTTTTCATTTTTTGGACACATTTTTTTTGCAAACATTTTTACTATATAACTGGATTTTGCGATAAAAAATTCAATTTTCGCAAATTTGCAAATTTTTTTGCAGATTCTAAAAGTAGAGCACAAGAGCTTTCTAANGACCCCCCCTAGCATATCCTGGTTTTCAAGTACCGCAGCAGAGATAGGGTTAATTTACATATTTATTCCTAAAGTTGAGATTGTTTGAGTCTGAGACTTGGAACTTGAAGGCTAGTTCACCCTTAAAACAAATGTGAGGTTAGGTCATTCACAATCATGGATTCAAAATAGAATATATAGTGATACAATGATCAAGAAAAAAGGTTATTTTTATTTACTAATACAACTATATGATTTTCAAGTTTAAATTAAATTGTGATATCTGTAAAAATGTGCCCCGAAGTCACAAATTTTGTCAAGTTAATCTTGTGATTAAGTTTTCATCTTAAACCTGAAAGGCGGGGGGAGGGGGGGGGGGGGTTGGAGGCCCCCCCCTTTTTTTGCCCCAGCACTCTCATTTTTGACACCATCACCGTGAAATTTTTAGACTTTCAATGAATAGAAACTATGATTTATTGTTACATTTTTTTAAAGCACTGGGTAGGAGGTTGGTAAGAAGTCCGTGTAAAAAAAAATCTAAAAAAGCCCTAAACTTTATAAAAATGTGTCAAATCTTGAGATTTGTTTTAAAGAAAAAAATATATTTTTTTCTTTTTTTACCCTTTTTTGGCATTTTTTTCAACCCTCCTTAGCGCCAAAACTAATAAAGCTATCGGTCTAATTATTTTTCAATGGGCTATGAAAAAGCATTGCAACACTATACCTATAATCCAAGGCCTTTTCTAGGGGGGATTAATTTAATTCCTTTTGTTTATCCTTTATTGGTCATACTTTGCAGGGATAACTTTAATTAATTGATCCTCAAATCTAGAAATACCCACATTGGATATCGAGATCAAGCATTCATGATTAACAATACTCAATACAAAAATAACGGCCGTCAAACATTTTCACAGAGATTTGATCAGTTATGTTACAAATATTAAAAGAGAATCCCCGCATTGGCATTGGGCAGCCATGGTACATTTGAATTTCCGAGCCGGGTCAACCTTTCCGGTAACAGTTTGTACTGTACCTAGCTCTGTGAACAGGACTAGCCGGTGCAACAAAGTTGACGCGGTCAGACTTAATGCTTCAAATAAGTTGAATTTACTTTTACTAACGGGGGATGTGGTGCGTGCCCGACAACGTAATAATTCCGAAATATTTGGCTACTCTGTTTTATAATAGTTTTTTGATCTAATTACATGAATTTTTCAGTCTTTTTCCTTGTTTTTAAATTACCTTAAGTTTTGCTAGAATAGGAAATATGTTTGAACAGGACAGAAATGTTTCTTTATTTATTCTCCATCTAAACCTTCGCAAAGCATAATCTAAAAAGGAAATAAAACGACTTGTTTTATTTATTTTTGCCAAAAAAAATAACCAAAAAATGCTTTGTTAACGCCATTTCCAAAGCTGACTCGATAATTCTTTTCACACTTGTAGTTCCCCCCCCCTTACCACCCATTAGGAGTAGGAGTAGGGTTAAACAGACAACCCTTGAATAAAACCCTACCAAAGAATGATTCATCTTGCTGTTTACATTTCTCCAATTCAGCCGTTAAGCTCTCAATGTGCCAGCTACTCTGCAGTTCATCAAATTCATGAATTATTTTCTTTTAAATTGTTTTCACCAGGAACCGAGTCTTTGCCACCAATTGTGAATACTTAACTCAATATTTGTTGTAGCCCTTCATCCTGAGAATTCTATTAGATTAAATAATCTAATCTAAGTTTGAATTTGAATTTAGGTTTATATTTGAGTTTGTGGCGAAGACTTAATCCTTTTGTCACTTTTCGTACAAAAAATAAAATATATATAATAGTTTGGGTGCCTGAGTGTTTGTATCCAAAACGGCTGTACCGATTTGGTCCAATTGTGTAATGACAACCCACATGACGCCAAATTTTAAAAAGAAAAATCTGCGAAAATTTGAGTATGATTAAAAATGGCCCCTTGGCCAGAGCAACAGTATAAAGCTAAAATTGTTAATGAAAAGGGGGTGTGAAGCACCCTAATTCCTTGTTAAAAATATTAAATAAAGTCCAAAAATTAAATAAAATTGAATTTTGTTCCTTGACGTTGGTTTGTTGGATACTTTTTAGCATTGACACAACTTCCTATACACATATCTATAAGTATAGTCATATTCTTGTTCAATAGATAGATAAGCTACCCAAACTAATATATTTTTAGCATCGAAACAACTTCCTAAACACAAATCTATAAGTATAGTCATATTCTTAACATATATTAAATATTCTAAATATTTATTTTAAATATTTTAATATATTAAATATTAACATATTTAAAGAAACATTTTTTAGAGATATTTTTAAATTACAAAAGTTGCAAAATTGCTCTAGGGTTGTATTTTAGTGCTTCTCTGCTCTGTACACAAATGTAAATTATAAAATAAATGTACTTGCACAATGCCACTAAATGCAACTAAATGCCACTAAATGCCACTAAAAAATGGTAAAGATGAATTAACAAATAACAATTTTGATTTTGGGGCAGTTTGCGCCCATACAATATCCTCCTCCCCCTTCCTCTTTTCTTTAAAATGTTTAAGTTAAAGCCAGGGGCCCGAGGGGGGTGATAGTTCTCTGTCTGTGTGCTCAGTTAGCTGTACTGAGCTGAAAACTTTAGAATGGTGGATATCAGGATTAAGGCTTAAACCACTCTTTTTCTTAATATCCAGTTTAAATATTGCTTGTTCTCCACATGAATTTAAACTCTAGAGAAGCAACATTATATGACAATTGGATATTTCATTCTAAAGTTTTCAGCTCAGTACACTTACAACTGTTTGCTAATATTGATATACTATAGGTTAGGCCAGAATCAACTTAACATAAACAAAATGCAGTACGCTCTCGGTATAGTTTATGGTCTATAAAATTAGTAAAGGATCAGCGTATCACTCTATACACTTTAACCTCGTTGGTTAAAGCGTAAAACAAAGCGACCCTCCTCGATGCAAGGATGACAATGCCAGATTCACAATGATACCCTTAAAAGCTTTGTCTGATCAAATATAAATTAGATGTCAATGTTTATCATTTTGAAAACTGATTATTTCAAGTTGTGGTTTCTATACTGCAGTAAAATGTTTCAATTTAGAAAAATTAAATCTTTCACAATATTTATCATGGAGATAAAGTGTTCAAGGTTACCGTTGTACATCGGACATTGCAATCTTTGCATGAAGGGTCACTTGAATTTACGCGTACAGTCCCTTTAAATGAAAAAGATGCTTACCTGATAGGAAAGAACCCTGTTGACATCTTCGTCAAATAAATGGAAAATCTGGTCAAATAGATATCTTATTCATCTTTAATAACATTCCATTAAAGGCAATCTTTTATCAATTATTTTTAGAAACTCTGCAAAAAATAGTAAAAAATAATTATTTTTCTGAGAATTTGAATGAAAAGACTTAATAAGAAAACTTATGGTCGAACTTTAAAGGGACTTCGGACGACATTTTTAAGGAGTTAAAGGTTTATTGGTGCCATTTAAACGATACCTTTAATTCTGTGTCGGAGATTTCTTTGTTCTTGATAGAAAATTTGAATTTTGAAAAAAAAAAAAAATTTAACTATGTTACTGCTAGTGTACCCATGGTTCCCTAAAAATCAGGCAATTCGGTCCAGTCGTTTGGTTTTTACCTTAGCTGGAGTGCCCGGCGTTGGCCGTAGCAAAATACAATTTAGAATTTTGAAAAATAAACTTTCGAATTTTGAGAATAACAAAATTTGATTTGCAAAAATATATTATTTTTTTAGCTTATGTTATCGCCAGGGTAGGGTTCCCTAAAAAATGTCAGCCAATTTTGTCCAGCCGTTTGGCCACCTTTAGCTATTACATATAAATACATAACAATATCTTTACGAGTGCGAAGAGCTTTATTAAATTATTAGCTGAAGTGCCCGGCTTAACCCGTCTAAAAATAATTTAAATTTGAAGAAAAAAAATTTGATTTTTGAAGAGAAAAATGTCGAAATTTTTTAGCCTATAAGTAACTCTACATTTTACTAAAATTATAAACATACGTGTAATTTACTTCAGTGTGACGTTATGAGATCTTGATCCAATTTGATTTAATTCTATTCCGTATATTGTGTTGCGATCTAAAGATAAATACTATTTCCTGTTCCGGTGTATAATGTTTTCTCTTCTCCACCAGGTAATTATTGTACGCAAAACTAAACTGAAAATCAGTCGCCATTCGAAACCTGTCAACAGTAAAACTAATTAGTAATTGTATTTTATTTAATATTTTATTTATTTACTGGAAAAATCCACGAGTCATTTTTCTTATATTTTTTTTTATTTTAGAGAGAAAATGAAAGCTTTATTCTCATAATTCTCAAGGCCAACATACAAAGAATTTTTCCCCTAATTATTTTCAAAACTTACTTGTGACTTGAGGTGCGTGCCCAGTATTTCTTAAAGTCTTGATAGCACTGGTTTAGAACAGATTTCTGGATAAAAATTGGACCATGTGAACTACCTTTACGGGTCTCACCTGGCTCACCAAACACCTAGAGCAAATTTTATGATTAAGTTTTTAAAAAAAGCAAGTTAAAGGATAAGACAAATTCATACCGCAAGGGCTCACCAGGGCTAGATGTTTTGGGTTTCTTTAATTTAAGTTCACATACAATTTAGTATATAATTCAACATCCTTGAAATTCTCAGAATTTTGTTTTTGTATTTAAAGCGAAATATTAAACGCATTATCAAACAAAAAAGTAGAATAGAGAAAAAGTTGTGATTAAAAGTTACAGAAGACTGGGATAAATACCGAACTGGTAAATATGGGCGGGTTACAGAAAATTCTTAATTTAGTAAAAGTTTAAAGGGAGTCTTCTCAAAAAATAATACCCCCTTTCATTTTTGCGAACACCACCTTTAAGAGGCAGAGAAAAAGGGAGAGATGTAGCACATTAAGACAATGTTAAAGTAGTTTAAACAGTTTTACGCACTTTTAAATTTCATAGAATAATTTACAGGGTTATCGACAGAGGATGATACTGTAATGACGGCCTAGAGCTCTTTAAATACGGAGATCTGAATGCTAAACATGGCTCTTTGTCGTCATTGTAGTTTACTAAAGAGAAATCAAATGATTTGACAAAATAAGTTTACGGCTGAAGGGAACTATACAAATAAGAAAAAAGACTAAATAGGTTCAGTAAAGTCTTCTCTTCCCTTGTGGGTTACCTTGTATAATGTTAAGGCTTTTAAACTATTGGTTAAAAAGAACAAATAAATAATAATATTTTTCAAAGAAACATCTTACGTTTTTGTATCAGAAATGCGCTATTTAAAATTTTAAAATGCGGGAAACAAATGTATCGAATATTGTTGATGGCGAACAAGATAGAAAATGGCGGAAGCAGAAAACCAGAAAGTACAGCAAATAAATGACATATCTTGGGAAGATGTAGAACTAAGATCAGTTGACAGTAATGAGGTATTATTTTTAATGTGCTACCCTTCACAGTATCTAAAGGTTGAAAACAATCAATCACAAATCGATGAGAAATATTTACTTGTTAAAACGAAAACTAAAAACAAGTTTTTACTCTTTCATAAAAGATGATGCAATGTTTCGTAGCAATCTGGAGTGATTGTTTTTTTTTTAACATTTATTTTAAGATTCTAATTGTTTTTCTTTTAACATTTATTTTAAGCTTAATTGTTTAGGAAATGAAACTTTTTATATTTAAAGACTGTAATACAATATTTTTAGAGAGTTGAAGCGACCAATGAAAGATTTGGTAGTTCGTTTACTGACAATTCAATCAGGCAGAGATTTAATCATTTTTAATAGATTCAGTTTAATATTTACTTTAATTTAGAAAATTTAGTTGAATTTAAAAGTTTTTTTTTTCACATTTACTTAACTACTGCTGAACTTCAATAAGGGTTCTTGTGAAATTTTGAATTTTGAATAAAAAATAAAGAAAGGGTTTTTTAGTTTATTGGCAAGATGAGAAAGTGAATAAATGGCTTTTTCAGAAATTCTTTTATCCGTAAGGTGTACGGTATTATTCTGGCTGAGTTATTGCTTGTTTCAGCAATTGTTCTAGTTGTTAACCTCACAGAAATCAGGTAGACAATTTACAATGAACCAAATCATTAAGCAAATTAATAAAAAGAAAAGTCTTTATCCTTATTTTATTTGTATCTCCACAAACATGGCACTTGAAATATGGATATTTTCTGGTATTGAAGGTTTTCTGTACCNTCTTTGCCACAAACTCTGATTTTCTAATAACTATATCTTTGGAACCAAATATTGCAGACCTTAGATATTTCAAACTATGAATTCTGTTAGATCAAATAATCAGAAATTGAAATATCAAAGGTTTACAACATTGAGTTCTAAAGATATTGAGGTTTAAATATTTGATTTTGTTCCAAAGACTCAATTCCTATGTACGTATGCAACCTCGCTAGACATTTTATTAAATTATATTCCTCCTGAATTAGCCGACTAGTCCACGACCATACAATTCTATATAAAGTCTCGCAAGGTTGCATACAAAGGAAACAAGTATTTGTCCCAAACTCAAAGTTTGTTTTTAATCTTTGTGACAGAAAAAATCTCAAGAACTGACGCGGGTCAACCCAGACCGAAATATATTTTCAATAAATGTGGAACTAACATCTACTTTTTATACTCTTTTGGTCCATCACCATCACCGAATTTTAAATCAAAGTTTCTATTCTCTATATCTGTGCAATCTGATGGTGTAAATTTTTGATATTTCAAGCTTAGATTATTTGATCTAGCAGATATCATAGTTTGAAATCTATAAGGTACGACATTAGGTTGCAAAGAAATAGGGAAACAAATTTTCAGTTTGTTGCAAACACTCAGTTCCTTTGAAGGAGTTCCTTTGAAGGAGTTTCTTTGAAGGAGTTTCTTTGAAGGAGTTCCTTTGAAGGAGTTCCTTTGAAGGAGTTCCTGAGAATCCTTTGAAGGAGTTCCTGAGAAATTGAGAAAAACTAAAATAATTGTCTTTCCTATCATGTAGCCAAAGACATTTTTTTTATTTTTTTAATACTTGAGCTTGATCTTCTCCTTTTGTTTAATTCAAAATGATGAGACAACGCATTGGAACTTTTTCAAACTAATTATGAGGAAGAATTTTGTTATATGAAACTATTGGTGCTCGGAACTCCTCCAGCTTCCTACGAAATGTTGAAAAACAAAGCTCATATTTACACAAAAGAGTGAACGTATATGTAGAAAGGGTTATAATGGCTGGAAAACATGGCATCAGATTTCAAACTGAAATAAAATGTAGTTCAGTTTTGTGTGATGTAAAAATAAGCTTTTTCATAGGAACAGTATATATGAAAACAATGCCTCATTTTATGTGTTCATAGGTAACAATTTTATACTCTTTCTTATTATTCATTATTCATAATAAATTATTCATAATTTATAATACATTATTCATTCTTCATAATACTTTATTAATTATTCATAATACATCATTAATTATGTATTATTCATTACTCATTACTCATTCATTATTCGTTATTCATTATATTCATTATTTATCATTCATTTTTCATTATTCATCATTCGTTATTCATTATTCATTATANTTTCCGATGTCGTAGACCTTTAACATCTTGCTCAAATATAATATAATATAATATAATATAATATAATATAATATAACATCTTGCTTTGCTCAAATATAATATCAAAGGTTGTAATGATAATCGGGTTGTAATGATAATAGGAGTTTAAACATCTTAGTTTGTGGCAATAATAAGTGTGATATTTGTGTTTAGATTTTACGAGTTGTTTGATCTACTTGATAGTTTTATCCTCTATCCTTGGTATTGTTGGTCTTGGTAAATATATATATTCAAACCTTTTATAATTAGAAGATCTAACAAAGACGACTTTATCTCCGTTTTAATTTAGTCATCAACTTTTATGCAGTGCATAGATTTATTTAGTCTTAAAAAAATCTGTCTGAAAAATTTAGGTTCTTTTTAAAGTTGCAAGTTAATCTGAATCTAGAGTCAAAGTTTTCAAATCGGTTCTTTTGATATCCGTCTTTAAAATAAAAATTATTTGACTTTTAGTTCCTAATCCTCATATTTTTGCAACCTGTTGGTTTGACCATGGATAAATTTTCAAATTATGTCAGTTAAAATTTAGCTACACTTTTGAAATTTCAAAGGTTTATACCATCATCAGGCTGCAAATATATAATGTACAGACAATTTACACAGTCTACAGTTCTACACTGTAATCTCTAGGGTCTATATTTTGATTAATCTAGCTAGCCTGTTTGTGGGTTTGTTTGCTTCTGATGGTTCCTACTATATTATGAGAATGGTTTACTCAGGTTTTCGCACCTTACGTTAAGATTTTTATTAGCTGTCGTCTTCATAAACTAATATTCTTTTCACATAAATAAACATTCTTTTATTTTCTTATCTCTATATATATCTTGATGGGATTAATAGTTTGTATTTCAAACTTAGGCTATTTAATCAAACAGAATTCAAAAATTTACATTATCGTGATATAGTCGTTAAAAATCAGAGTTCGTGGCAGGAATATTAGTTTATGAAGACGACATATAATAGATATATAAAAAAGTTTTACTTAAAGGACTGGTTTAGATTATTTTAATAGAAAATAGGCACTTTGATTTCTAATTTATTCTTTTTGACAATTTGAGCAATACTTTGTGTTTACATTGTATGTTGAATGATATATATTTTATTTCTAGGTTTAGGTGTACTTGTTGTATCATTTTCTTTAATCTACGATACTCAGCTTATTCTGATAGGCAAGCAACAGGGAAAATGCCAAAGTTAAATCAGAGAAAAATTCTTTAATGCCTCAAACTAAAATCTACACATCTTCGATTGCGTGAATCTTAGATATTTCAAACTTTTGAATATATGATTCAACATAATTTATATAGTGAAAGCCTAAATAAGACGGAATAATATTAATTGATTAATACTCCATAGTCGTATTCGACCTTAGAAATAGTTTGCAGTATTCAACACCGGTAACCTGCTTTTAGCAATTTATTTTTATGAAACAAGTATCACAGAAAAGCCCTATTCCTGCCATTTCCAAAATGTGGTCTGCCATTTGAGTGCTTTTACAATTACAGGATATATGAATGATTTCGTTCAGAATTAGACATTTTCCTGGTTTTATTCAATTAATTGAAATTAAAACATATTTCTTTTATTAATATTGCTAAAATCAGGTTACCAATGTTGAATGCCGCAAACTATTTCGAAGGTCTAACACGACTTCAAAGTTTCAATCAATTGACGTTATTCCGGGTTATTTAGACTATCACTGTAAATATTGAAAGTTAACAATATTATAAAAGGATGAGAACATCCGAGTTTGTGTCGAGTAATCAGGGAATTCGCTTACAACTTTAAATGAATTGTTAAAAATTCTAAATTATCCTGAAACCGCAAACTAACCTTTGCATGTTCAACAGATTTTTCTTCTTCTCAATACCTCTTCAATAAGAGGAGTTATAAACAATTTCAATTTACGTTAGTTTGACGTAAACTGATAGTGAGATAGTTGAACCGGTTCTCTTAAATTTGAACCGGTTCTCTTAATCTTGAACCGGAGCAAAATGTAATTTAACGACTTCTCTCTGTTTATTAAATTATGTCCCTGGAGCAAAGATCAAAAATGACACAGTAGGACACTAGATGTCGTCTTTTCAAGGTTTAGGTTGTTTTGTTCACAATAACCCTGAGGCAGAAGCCCAATGGAGTTACGCGCATGCCGCGTTGAACTACAAGACAGAGAGAGCCTGTTTTAATTCCTTTGGGCCTCTGTCTCAGTGTTATTGTGAACGAAAAACCCTTAAATCTTGAAAAGACGACTTCTAATGTTCTATCTGTATTGTTATTAATCTATGCCCTGAAGTAACAATATTTCATGTTGCCTTGTTTAGGAAAACATAAATATTCTCACTCTGCTGATGATTATACTCTAGCAGCATTCAGTATCCTTACAGATATAGTTCAACTCTTCCTGTATTTATTAACCTTGGTCGGGGGCAGACGATAATATTATAGTGCAACAATTATATTAAATATCGACGATTATATAATAGTTTAGCTTTTTGACTAATTTGTATTATTTTAAAAATATACTTTCAAATTCTATCAAAACTTTGCATCTTCTTATTTCACTGTTAACACTTTTTTGGTGCAAAAGTACCTCGGCTTTATTGTTCAATTCGTAAGAGTTAAGTTTTTTGGTTCTGTTGTAAATCATACATGGAAACTTTAATTGCGCGTGTTCTAGAAGTTATATTGACAAAAAAGGAGTTTTTTTAGAAGTTTTATTTAGAGTTTAGAAATCACACGCAGGTTTTATTTTTTACACTTTGTCAAAAAATCGTTTTTTTAAAACCTCATTTGAATCCCATCTACATATATATTTCTTATTGTAAGTAAGGATGTTTGTATGCCCGAACTCATGAACTCATGAACCCCCTAGCTGGACCGATTTGCCTCAAATTTTGATTGGGGAACTCGTTAGAATTAGTTCTTAGCTTGGTTTAAAAACTTTCAGGAAATTTTAGTTTCCCGGCAGAGCTGGGTTTCCAAACTAGTACCAATATTAATCAATTTGAATTTAATGTATGTTTTGCCGACCATTTATAATGTTTTAAAATTATATGTGGTGCAATTTAAGATGTTAATAAAGGGCAACTTTAAACTTAATTAGAATTAATTTGCACAAATTAAATATAAACTTATAAATGTCAGTGTAGACTGTAGAGAGGCCCTGCTAGAAAACAAACTTAATTAGAATTCTACTTTCCTTACAGAGAAGTCGAAGGTTTCAAGGGATTCATATTTGTCAATGGAGGGAGGGGTGACTTGGCAACATTGAGCCACGGAAAATTTGCATACAAGCCACGGAAGTGATCTCCGATTTCGCCATTTTGATTTCTGCTTGTTTATTTTATAATTTTCTATCTTTATTTTATGATATGAAAACCAAAATACATTTAACATTGCAGTTCAGTAGTTTTGAAAAAACGATATTCTGTCTCAAATATCGTTTTCTTCTCAAAGAATTAAAAGATAAATCAATTTATTTTTTAAGGCCTTTCACATGTAGAAATTATCTCAAACACAAACGCTTTTTAACGTGACACCGGGATGATACAATTTGGATGGACTTATGCACGAGTTAAATGTGAAGTCTGTCTTGTAACTCTTTTTTGGTGACAACTGTATATTATCCCAACACCCAATCTAAAACATACCTTGGTAAATATTTCATCTGTATAGGTGAGTGACAAATCATATGCATTACTGTACATATTAAATGACGGTATTGCCCAACCAAACCAAACCATCTGCCCCACCTCCTCATTATAGAAATCCTCCAGTGTACACTCCTGAACACAAACAAAATGGCGATTGTCAAAAAAATTTTATGGATTATACATAGTCAAATTTTATTTCATGTTTCAAGTGAAAACCAAGTACAGCTTCTAGAAACTATAAAAAATACAAACTTAAAAATCTACTGAAAAAAGAGAAAAAATTGCATTCTTACAAAATTTATCAAGACTCTGGTTTAAAAAGTGTTTGAAGTTTTTAAAATAATCCATGAAACATGAACTTCGTGACTAGACAGAAAACGAACAATGTGTTTATGTGAAGGAAGGGAGCTGAGTAATTAATGAAATAGAAACCGGGGAAACAAAAAGAAAGGAAGATTTATTATCTTAAAAATAAAAGTAATCCATCCCCAAGAATCAATGAAAGGTTTGCGTTTATTAAATCTAAAAATCTTCTTTGAAAGAAGATCAAATAATCTACTTATAAATTGTCTCAATCACAAGTAAAGAGTATAAGTTACAAACTATACAATTAGATGAAAATCTAACATTTATTGTAAGATAAAAATATATTATATATATATATATATTGTATTACATATTGCTGAACTATATATACACTATGTTTTTGGGGTGCTTCGTGCCCATCCTCGACATTAACATTTTATATCTGTGAGCATCTTCTCTTTGTAAAGAAAAATAATATTGGAACTAACAAATTTTTCCCGGATTTTAAAATATTTTTTCTTCGCGCATTTTTAAGATTTCACTAAAGTTAAAAGCTTTTGGATACAAGTTTTTGTAACTCTGAGCCATCTTAAACTTTCTCTGGGGCTATGCGAGGTCTTACACAAAATTTGGACCCGATTGGTTCAGCCGTTTTTACGTTTATTGGATACAAACAAACAGACAGCAAAGTATATATATAGATTACATATACAAAGTGTACATTTAGCTTTCAGAGAATAAACAACTAGGTCTTGTTAGGCGCATCTGAGAATATTATGAGATACAGGGTGAGATAGAGAAAATGGCAAACTAGAGAATCTTTAGCCAGGGATGTATATGGGGGGTATACACCCCTACACACAAATGTAAAAGAAATACAGAACTACAAGTAACAGTAAAGGTCTGCATTCATCTTTTAACCCTATCCCCGCTGGGGTACTTGAAAACCAGGATACGCTGGGGGGGGGGGTCAATTTGACCCCCCCCTCTAAATCCCATGTTTTATGTCCAAATATGACAAATGATACATCATTAGAAAGCTCTTGTGCTCTACTTTTAGAATCTGCAAAAAAACTGCTAATTTGCGAAAATTGAATTTTTTATCGCAAAATCCAGTTTTATAGTAAAAATGTTTGCAAAAAAAAAAATTGGCCAAAAAATGACAAATTATACATTTTTGAAAAGCCCTTGACCATGCCATTTCAAATATGCAAAAATTTTTGCAAAATTTTAAATAACCTGATTTTTAATCAAGAAAAACTAAAAATGTGCAAATTTCCTTTGATAGGTTGTTTGCAAAAAAATTGCAATTTTTTTTCGCAAAACTTGTGCTATCCGTTTCCTTATGTCATAGGCTTTCCAAAAAGCTAAATTTTATCAAAATCTGACAAGTGAAAGTGGGTCAAAACAAAGATTTAGTTTGCTACAGGCAAACGCAGTCATTCAGGCAGTGTGCCTGAGGACTCAGGCAGTTAGTATTAAAGCCCGGTTTTAGGCCTTAAGGGAGGGCTTTGGGTATGTAAGAAAAGTCAGAAAATTTCAACAGCCTCAGACCAATACTTTTTGAGTTATGTAAAAAAAACTACAGGGGGGGGTCAAATTGACCCCCCCCCCCCCAGCGGGAATAGGGTTAATGCTGTATTACCCTGAAGAATGGAGGGTTTTTATCTAGCTGAATCCAGATTTTGCTATTGACAGCTTTAAATATACTCCTTAATAACATGCCTGGTTAGCTGTTATCAAGTTGCCGACCCCTAGGAAAGACAATAAATCTTTTTATTGAATCTGGTTTTATGTGAAAGCACTAAGCATCAAGATGTCAGTTTAATTTACAAGTATCTGTCTGAGATGAACTTACAAGAATCAAGATTATTTTTCCAACGTGTAAGAATATATATAATAAATATTAACAACAGCTGGATCAAAAAGCTGCAGCATCAATCCACAAAATATCTTGTCAGAGAAATTCGACACTTCTGCATGTAACACAAATAGTTACTTTTTATTATACTTAATTTAAAATTTATGGCCCAAGATGTCAAATTGAATAATAGTATGAAAAGGAAATTGCGAAAACAGAGTGCTGCAGCTCTGGGCAATATGCTTAATATTAGGGAGAAAGAAGAGCAGAAATATGTGTCAAAATGCGTTTTTCCCTTGTCTATAGAATGTGTTGATCTACAAGAGAACAGAATATGGAGGTATGATCAACCAAAAAGAAGATACAACAGCCAGAGAACAAATTCACTGCTCTTTTTAAAATTTAAAAAAAAAATCTAATTTGTTAAGAATACATTATACATATACCGAAATAATTTTAAATGTATAAACATATCAAATTATTATATCAAAATAGTTGTAATTTCGGCATACTTTTGGCAAGTTCAATATTACGATTTATATTACGATTTTCCTTATAACGATGTAAACTAAAAACGTTCAAAAAGTTTAAAACTACATATTACTAAATCCAAATCAGAAAAAACTATATATTTCTATTTTTTTATGGCACAAATCATAAAAAAATCTTATTTATCTCGTTAAGCAAATCTTATTTATCTCTTTAAGAAAATCTTATATTACCTGATTAAGCGAATCTTATTTATCTCTTACAACAAATCTTATTTACCTCTTTAAGCAAATCTTATTTATCTCTTTAAACAAATCTTATTTACCTCTTTAAACAAATCTTACTTATCTCTTTAAACAATCTTATTTATCTCTTTAAGCATGTCTTATTCATCTGTTTAAACATATCTTTTTTTATCTCATTAAACAAATCTTATTTATCTCTTTTTTAGCATATCTTATTCATCTGTTTAAACATATCTTTTTTATCTCCTTAAACAAATCTCATTAACTCTTTAAACAGATCTTTTTTATCTCTTTAAGCAATCTTATTTATCTAATTAAGCAAAGCTTATTCATCTGTTTAAATATATCTTTTTTATCTCCTTAAGCAAATCTTATTTATCTCTTTAAAAAAAATTGGATTTACCTCTCCAAACAAATTGTCGTCGTTGATATAGATGAATAATTCTGACAGCCCAGGTATCCTAACAAAATTCATTAACTTCAGAATTGGAAGAAATTTATTTTTGTATAAATGTTTAAGTTTTATATAAATGTTTAAGTTTTGTATAGATGTTCGCTTACTTAATTTGTGCTTTAGCCTATATAGTATACAAGTTTTAACTTGGCTTATAATCATTTAGAAAAAATGTTAAAGTAACAATTTGAAGGGTGTAAAATTGGAAATTTTGATATCCTGTTTAGCATTGATAATTATATTTATTTTTTTTGTCTAAAATTTTGATTCTGCTTTTTGAAACTGAGTGTTATGTAAAACAACACTAATCTTCTTTTTTTGACCCATCCCTGTATTTGTTGGAAAGCATTATTTAAATCTTTTTAAAGGCTTATCTGTCCAAAATAATTAAAATTAATAATGATCCTTTGTAAAAAGGCATATGCTCATCATCTGAACAGCTTCAATTTGTAATATTTTAACCATTATGCTGGTTTAAATTTGATAATCTTAGACTTTTTTGTGTATGAGGATTAAATTATGGATCAATAATAAACTAATTTGAACAACTGAATAAATTCAAAGTATTTTAAATGCTTTTTTATTTCCGAAATGGTGTCGTAAAAATGTAATAGAGCGTTAGTTCAGATTATCAGTAGTCCAATTGATATAGCATCTCCGAGGTTGAATGTGTTAAATGTCGTCCTCTATCTCTCAACATCTTCCTACGAGGAATTTGCTTTACACACAGGGTGAGACAAAATATAAAGAAACTTAATTTGTAAAAGTTTTAGAAATATACATTTTGCACAAGATTGCTGCTACACATGACAACTCGTTTGCTGTCCAATTTTGATCTGTAGTTCATTGCATGAAATAATCCTTAGTTTTATTTTAATAACACACATAAAATGTATTACTATAGAAATGCACTTTACATACAGGGTGTCCCACGAAACATGACAGTATGCAGGACGACTTGAATGTCGTCTTGATACTATTGTCATGTTTCGTGGGACACCCTGTATATTTATATTTTACCACGATCTGTTAAATATTTAAAACAACAATCAACCTGCAAGGACTGTTCTGAATTTTTATGTAGAACATTTACGAGACATCAGATTCAAAAGTAAATGTTTGTTGCTTAACAGTTAATTGCAAAGTACCGTAACAGATTTGCTTCAATTGCCGGACTACTGAATGTTGGAAGATTGTCAAGATCATCAAATATATGTTCATGCCTGAATATAGTTTTTTATTAATATAAATATAATGTTAATAAACTTTACTGCAATTTTCCACTAAAGCCGGTCATCTATTAAATTAAAAATTTCTTGTGTGAAAATTTTATATATTTGCTGATCAAGTTCGGATAAAAATACTTATTTTGAATTTTTTTTTTAAACACACTGTATTCCCAAACTTTTGGAATCATGATAGGAGCTAAGCCCAAAAGCTGAAATACAGGGACAGCTTTAAATATACTCCTTAATAACATGCCTGACCCCCCCAAGCCCGTCAATTTCATCAGAAGAGTGTAATTAAGACGATAATATAATATCTACTTCATATTCATGAACCACGTATAATTGAAATAGTTGAGTTCTCTACATTACTTCAGAGATAATTATCTTCTTTGCAAAAGTTGAATATAGAAAAATTTTCTCTTTTTTTTGTCTTTATGTTTAGATATCTAATGGAACTGTATTGTTGAGTACCAGGGGGGTAATAAAGGTTTTCAGGTGGAGCAACCTTATTTGCAGTTATCTCTCAAACTTATTTCAAATATTTTCTACTTTTTTCTTTAAAAATAAAGAACAAAGAACTGAGCTACAAGAAAAATAATAACTTTTGTTTAAAATAAAAACTTAAAATTAATTGGTTATGCAGAAAATGTAGATGGAAAAAATTAAATACCTTCCATGTTTGTAAAGTCAATAGTGATTGAAGTCATAATCTTTTCTTTCGACTTTTAGCATAATTTTCAATCAAAGAAATTAAGTCTGCCACAAACTCTGATTTTCTAAACCATATGTTTTTGTTACCCAAAAACGTAGACCTCAGAAATGTCAAACTAACTACAGTGAGAATCAGCAAATTGTGGAATGGTACGACGACATTATAGCTATAATTATGATGTTGTTTAACTTGTGGCTTATTGCATCACTTATTCTTTGAAATCGGTCTGTTTACACTGCATAATTGATGTTGCCTGTATTCTATGTTATATAAAGTCATAATTTGAGTTATAGTTCTCTGGTTCTGACAGTATGAATTCCGTTAAATAATCGTTTAAAATATCCAAGGTTTACAGTATGCATCAGGTTGCAAAGCTAGATGTAAGGATTGGAAAATTTGAGTTTGAAGCATGACACTCAATCCCTTAAAGGGACAGACCGGCTATGTTAAACTGAGTTTGCAGTGTTGTGGAAAAATTCTTTAGTATTCATTTGACGGTCTGTCCCTTTAAATATGGTTTAGTCATGGTTAAATAATTTTTAAAGATTTTCCATATTTGCAGATCGTGTTCAGACAATTTTTACATTTTATTAGATTTCGCAAATTTGCAAATATCAAGCCATCATCTCATAGAACTCTACAAATACTGATTTATCGATTCTTTTCTACGGCCCTGAAGCTAGGATTACCTGACTATTCTAATCTTAGGATGGTGTGTATCCAACCAGTATGGTAACTGACCATTTGTCACAATATGTACATATCGTACCCAGTTCAGGTTCCTGTACAGTCAACAGTGTCAAGGTTTACTTACAATAATAAAATAATAACAAATAATGACTAATTTTTAAAAATATATGCGATGTGGTCTGGCAAGCACTAATCTAAAATATTAACTCAATATATCTGAAACTCTAGAATATATCATTTAATCGCTGCTAGAAGTTTGGAAAAGCCCAATATAGCTCAAAAAACGATTTCTTAAATATACTATGATATCTTATTTTCTTCATTTTCCAAAAAGATTAAATCCGTTGAAATATTTGAAATTTAATGATTATTTTCTGAGTTAAGTTAAAGAAAACGTCAAAAATGTTGTTTCATGGTAGTGGTATCATGGGTTTCCAACAGGGAATAAGAATAAAGGGAAGGGGAATGGCGCTGGTCTGGCATGAGAAAACCAGTCGCACTGCTTTGCAGACGATTTCACACGCACCGAGATTCGTATGTATTGTATATACCTACAGTACACGCCTTCGGTTCGTTATCAATTACACACACTCTTTTGGAACAGACAGACATACATGACGTTCCCCCCCCCCTTGGGTTTCATGTAAATATTTATAAGCGAAGAGATTTATTGTACAGAAACTAAACCTAATTTACCTTTCGATTGATCTAAGTGAAAACCTGAGTTCCTCGTTATCTGAATATCTTTTAGGATCAATCTCTCCATCTAGATTTTCCTCAAATAAAAATGACAAATAACAAATTTTGTTTAGATTTACAGTAGGACACATAAAGCAATATGAAGACAATTGTTTGACTGAATTTATGATTTTAAAAAGATGAAAATGTAAAACAAAAATTGTGCGAAGACCAATTGACGCCACTAATAAAAATTATACTGAAAAAACTGAAATGATAAAAACTTATAATTCTTTTAACACGACACAAAGGAACTAAATATCCACGTCAAACTCATTTTTCAGATCCATATTTTTGCAACCTGAGACCGAATTTGAGCTTGGTCGCTGAACTTCTTATACAGCCGATTCAAATTTTAATCACTGAAACATAATTAAAGATGCATGCAGATTTGAATTGGTGATTCAAGGTGTAAACCGGCGAAATAAGCAAAAAAATTGTTCAACTGTATAGAACCAAGAATGTTAGAAGAAAAGACAATAAAACAAGTTTTTGATCTTTCATCCTGTGTGGAAAACAACAGGAGCGTACACAGGGGGGGGGGTCATTCATATTTAATCTTCTTTTTCGAGACCCGGCAGTAGTGAAAACCGCCTGGAAAACATCAATTTTACAGTTCCAAGGGAGCTGACCATACATAGCCCCCCCCCCCCTGGACACACCATATTAGAAGAATTACTACCAAGTATATATTGGTGTATAAACGACCAGCCTTCTTTAAATTACTAAAATATTAACCTGAAGTATACATTGAGGAAATTTATTGACTCCAATGTGTGGAAAACAGGAGGTTATAAATTTGAAAAGAATGGAGAACAAAAAAAACATTATATTTAGAGTTACCCACAAAGGTTAATTACGATATAAAATTACGATTTAAAGGTAAAATTCGGTCTTTTGAAATTAAAATAGTCTTCTTGTGCATTATTATTATCCGGCTGCCTAATATTCGGCGCGGAAATTCAAAGGAACCGAAGTTTTATTTCAAAGTTATGTCACGCAGTTATACATTATAATTCAAATATGTTTTTCGTTTTTTTAAATATTCGTAATTGTTAGGATGCATGTTACTTTTTCTCTATTAATATCGGCAAATATAGATTTTTCATTTGCAATTGCAATTTATCAAGGACCTTGACATGTATCAATGACTAAATTTAAAAGGACTGCACGCTTAATTTCATCTCCGGTCATTAAAACTTTTTCTTTTTACCAAAGGCATTTAGTAAAAATAATATATCGGGGGTAACATTGTCTCATGTTTCGAGGGTAAAATTTACACATTAAAACTAACCTGTTCTGCTGATCCCTCTATATTCTGTAAACTAACCTGTTCTGCTGATCCCTCTATATTCTGTAAACTAACCTGT